TCGTTTAAAAATACGATTATTTTTTGCCTTATCTATTATTTTATACTGTTTTTCTTTTGGAACTTCATTTGATTATTCAAGTTTTTTTCTTTCTTTTTTTTACCTATTTATAGTTTATATTTATTTTTTAAATTTCTCTGTTTTAGAAAGTATGTTTTCTGACCTTAAATCATCTACGCAAACTGGACCCAGTTGCAACAATATAAACGAACTTGTCGAACCAATGAGCCGTCATTCCGCCTCTTCGATCGACTCTACTCGTATTCCCCCTAACCTTTTTCGCTCTCTTGTTTCCCAACTGCAAGGTCAATGTGCATGCCCCGAGGCACTAGTTCGCCGTCTTCAAGCCTACGTTGCGTCTGCTCAAGCTAGTTTGCATCAGGCTTTGCGAGAGCGCGGCGTTACTCTTGTCAATGATGTCTCATTTAATTTTTGTCAGCAATCTGGCTCTGGGCTCCACTCTCCTGCTTCATTCACAGCATCATCCAGCCCAAGCGGTACAGCCTCCGCCTGTAACACTGCACAAATCGCTGCATGCAATGGTCCGTCTGCTGTTGGATGGTCAACTATCAATTCCACCATATCCAGGGTCACTTCCAGCGTCGGTCTCAATGTCTCCGGAAAAGCAGGTTTTGCGGGTCCTATGGGGATAAATATAAACAGCGGTATCAATACATGTGCCTTATCTACTAACTCTAATTCTGGCACTAATACTAATGTCCCGAATGCCAAAAGTAATGCGAGTAGTCGAGTCTCTGGGACCGTCTCGCGCTCTCGTCCCTATGAGCGAGCAGGCTTTGCAGTGACTGATGATATCTCGCGGCTGGTGCCCTTTCCATCGATTGATGAGTCGTCTGGGGATCCTTCTTCGCAATTATCAATGCATTTATCGAGTGAAGCGAATACCGAAACAGGATTCCGTCGCTTTTGGCCTGTCGGTCGAGCAGGAATGCGGTCTATGCGAGCACCATATTCGGCAACTGGACCAGGAAATGGCCAAGGTGCCATTACCACTTCACTAGATACGCGAACTTTTGGCAATTCTTGCGATACCTATCTCCTTATTTACCTGGTCAATCCATTTTTCCAGGTAGATTTATATTTTGATTTCAGTGCCATGAATATGCCTTGACATCAAGCAATCATTTATTCTTTCCTTTTCTCACCTTTACCACTATTATAATTCATTCCGTCTTGCCGTTTTATCCATGTATATCCAAATTGACTCTTATAAGCTAAAATATTAATTCTTATAGAAGTTATTTGACTTTTTCGCAATTTAGTCATATTAGCAGGAAGACCTAGAGGAACGCGCCTTGTTCGTAGTTCATAGTATGTATGATAATTTCCAGAGTCGGACCGTGGACTTAATACATTCTCAGACGTTACAACGGCATCGTAAGTGAGCCCTGCCATTTTTAGCACCACACTACAACTCGTTAAGAAGACAAGTGAAGTCGATCCTTTGG